CGCAAGAGTGACCCTGGGTCAGAGTGACTTTTGGTGCGCGGCGTTTGGGGGGCCGCGGGGGGACCCAACTCAGGCGCGCAAGACGCTACTATCGCATCGTAATCGGTGATCGGGGGACCCCATTGTGCCCGCACCAAAGGTCACTCCGGCGAAAGGTCACTCTTACGTGTAGTCGATCCTCCCCCCTCTGCACGTGGCCGACTATGCCGGCGCGTGGGGGGGGCGCCGCGCGGGAAGGCCGCAAGTCCCCCGCCGCGCCAGACGTGTCGGCGGTGTGAACCGGAGGGGTCGCCTGACTCTGCCACGTCCTCGTGCAGCCGTCGCGCGGCCCCAGAGGGCGCCGAATACAGTGGAGGCCAGTCCACAAGAAACCTCCCACAAGAAGCCCAACCCTGAAACCCCAGGATCTCCCTCGATGCGTGGTGTGGGAGCGTCAGGCGTTCCCTGGCGTAAACGGCGAAACCCGAGAAACCCAGGGCACTCTGGAGGCAAGCAGGGTGTTTCTTGGCATGGGCCCCCACTGTAAGGAGCGAGAGGTGTTTCTGGCGACGGCGAAGGTGGGCCACGAATGGGTTACACGACCTGGATTGAACGGACTGGCCAGAAGGCCAGAGCCTCCCCTGGGACCCCACGCGGGCCAGGTTTCGGCGTCTTCACTGCACCTACGCTTGAAAATCACGTGGTGTGAGCAGTTGCACCAGAAGGAGAGGAACGCTATAAACGTAAACGTTTGGCGCTCCGCGCGGAGTTCTTGGATCTGTGCTGGAAGCCCCCATGCCTGGCGCGCGGAGCGCGCCAGGAGCGGCGCCGGAGGCGCCGGGCCCAGCGCGGATCTAAGAAATCCGCGCGGAGCGCCAAAAGATTCTGCTTATAGCGATTATGTTTCTTCGATGCACGGAAGACGGGCGAGCGGTGTTGCGACCACACGGCTGCTCCCCACTGCGCAGCGCGCACTCGCATTGCCATCGCACAGCAGCCGTGGAGATTCGGACGCCACCCCAAGCCAACGACGCGAGGGGGAGGAGGGCCAGGGGAGGGAGGAGGAGGAGGAAGAGGAGAAGGAGGAGGAGGAGGGCGCGGCAGGGTCAACTGCGAACCACAACTGAAGGGAAACCGGGAGAGCGGAGCACCCCTGCAGGGCGAAGGATGGCACCTTGCTCAGAGCACGCAGCGCTTCACGCGTGGTGCAAGCGGCCTCGGGAATCACACGAGCACTCCCCAAACCCCGAGAACACACGAAACACCTCGGTCCTCGGTTCTCCCCAGGCGCTTCGGCCAGAATTTTGCCGCCGTCGTCGTCATCGCCACCGTTCCGTCGCCGCCGCTGTCGCCGTCGTCTTCGGCGAAGCCGCCAACGCCACCATGGCCGTCGCCGGTGTCGCTTGTGTCGTCGTCGTCGTCGTCGTCTTCGTCGTCGTCGTCGGCGTCGGCGTCGGCGTCGGTGTCGGCATCGTCGTCGTCGTCGCTGTCGTCGTCGTCGTCGGCGTCGTCGTCGTCGCTGTCGTCGTCGGCGTCGTCATCATCGCCACGGTCATTGTCGCCGTCGTCGTCGTCGTCATCAATGTCGTTGTCGTCGGTCGTCGGCGGCTGGTCGCGGTGCCGACTCCTGGAGCTCTGCGTCATCGCGGCTCCTCAGGCACGCCTCGGTGGCGTTCATGGCCGCGGCCACCTCGAATTGGGGGAGGTGGGCACCGCTATGGGGATGCAAGCGAGGGAGGGAGGGGGCCGAATCTCGCTGGAAGAGCGAAGGATGAGGATGAGGAGGAGAAAGATGAGGACGATGAGACCTCTCGGGGATGGACAGAACCCCCTTTCGTAAAACGTGGTTTAGTGAAAACGACCTCGGGCCCAAACCCGGCGGGCGCAAGCCTGGAAACGCCCTCTCGAGAACCGAAAACGGACAGTTCACTAATCGACGTGTCAGGGTGGGGGTTCTGTCCACCTCCGAACCTCATCTTTGCGTAGGCCCTCTGCACCGTCGCCACAAGGGGGGAGCTGGCCGCTCACACGCCACATCGATGCTGTAGGGGCCAAGTCGCTCGGGATCTGCAGGTTGTGCGGACATGTTCCGTCGGGGGCGGGGTTGCGACGTGAATGTCCCCCTCGCCTGTATACGATCTCTCAGCGGATGTATTGCATCAGGCGAGGACCCGTTACGAGAGCAAGGTGTGCTACTGAAGGGGCCCTGGGGATCGACGATTAATTGTGTCTGTGTGCCGTTTGCCCTCCTGAGTTACTTCCTGCGGGGTCTTTTTTTCAGCGAGCTGGACCGAAGTACCCGCCGCCGATCTCTCCGAGCCCGAGTGGGACGCTCCAGGACGGGCGAGCGAGCTGGAGTCGATCCACTTTGGCGGATGCACCTGGCAGGACCCGACTCGCGATTTCGGGGACGCTTGCGCGTGGCTTAACGGCGTGGCATGCACACCGTCGTGTAGCAATACCCTTGAGGCTTGAGGGGTGTCTTTTTGATTCTCGCCCGTGCATGTCTTTCCGCACTGCATGAGTCACGCCGTTCCCGCAAGCGGCACGAAATGTCTTAGGACGCTCGATCGGACGTTCTGTGCTGTTCTGTCATAAATGGGGGGGGTCAGACCCGGTCCCCTTCCGTGCCCCCCTCGGGCCCCTCCGGAGACCCCAGCGGGCTCGTTTGGGTAGCGTCTGGGCAGCTGTTCGGACCACCCTCGCCCAGGCCCTATGTATGACCCCCCCATTACGCGACGGACAAGACGCGAGCGTTGGCCCTGAGCCGGGCCAGCGGCAGTTCCATTACGCGACGCCCAAGACGCGATTCCGGTGGTCTTGTCTGTTGTGCACATTCGATGGTTCGAGCCGCTGGAGGTAGCCACTAAGGTATCAGGCCGGCTCCCAGGGGGACGGCAAAGCGTCTCCAGAGGTGAGCTCGTGCCACTGATGGTTGCAACACGCTGTTCCCGAGGATACGCGATCTACAAGTACAAGACCGACAACGTGGCGGTAGCATACGGCTGGAGTGCGCAGGTGTTTCGTCGTACCGACGGAGCCGATGCGGACCTCTGGCATTAGGTCGGGCAAGAGTTCCACGATCGAGATCCGAATACATTCTTAGTTATGTTCACCAGTTCGCATTAGTCAGGAGAGCAAAGTGTGCGTCTCGCACGGCATGGCGCTTAGCAGTCAGGAACTGCATCGCAGACTTCTTGTCAGGAGTGGCTGCTGAGCGCTTGAGAGTTTCAGGGGGCCTTCGCTATAAGATCCAGTGCGTCGAAAGACAAGCGTTTCAAATCAGAACGAGAGTGATTCGATCAGGGCAGGTCAAAGGTGAGGGTGGTCCAATCGCGATCGCTCGGACGTTCACTCCCCGTGCATCTTTCTGTTCACTGCGTGTCCTTGTTCGCAGGATGACTCAAACTGCTCCTCGATGGTCACTGCCGGAAGAATACACACGTCCGAGCGATGCCAAGTCCAAGGAAACTAGGGCCTGTCCCGCCAGCTCCTCCCCATGCTGCTCTGAGCCTGTTCGACTCTCACCATGCTGCAGCCGAGAGGGTGAACAAATGCACGGTGTGTGTTCAGCCCTGTGTCCAGGGCCACAGTGGCCGAGTGGATGCTATCCGAATGCTTCGAGCCACAGAACCTTGACGGGAGGATCTGTGCGCTTCCACTCAAGGTTCGCTTGCACGTCTCGGGGGACTTGGTACACAGCACTCGCCCAATACGTTTCAGCAAGCAGTGAAGGCTATCGTGTTGCGCTAGATGCGGCTCCCATGGTAGTCACATGATCAGGGACGTAGGGCGGACATGCTTTAAGACTTCGAGTGCGGATCGACGCGAGTATTTGAATCGTTTATAACAAATCAGCACAGTGGTGGGGGAATGGGAGGGAGTGGTAGGACGTGAGATATGACGCGAGCGCACCTAGTTTGACTCTCTGTTTTCTCCTCTCTCCTCCCTCCTCCTTCTCCTCCCCATCCCCACGTTCCACTTCCTCCCCACTCCACATACGTACTCCCCCCTGTCCTTGTGCTCCTCATTCTCCTATGCATCCTCCTCCTCCCCTCATCCTGCACCTCCTCCTTCTCCTTCTCCTCTCCATTTCTCTCCCAACTCCAAAAACTCCGTCTTCCCCCTCCCCCATGGGGGTGGGGGAAACGGGACAGGGAGGAGCAGAGAGGGGCGGGGAGAAGAGGGGATGGGCACGAAGGATGAGGATCACAGCGGGAAGCCGATGTGGAGGAGAGCGGGGAAGCTGACGGGAAGACGACGAGGACTCGCTGAGGGTGGAACCGGGAGAGGGACGATGAGACTGCTCCCCCCCCCTGCTCCTCAATGCTCTCCCTGACATCCACAGATCTGCTCTTTCGATGCGCGGCGCCAAGGTCCCGACCGTGTCCACCCGGGGTAGCTCCCCGTCCCCGATCCATAGTTGGTGGCCCTGGGGTTCGGTCGGGCATGTCCTCCTGCAGGCGGGTTTTCGACGACGGATGAAAATATACAAACATACCGCAAACTGAGAACACGAAAAGACAGGAACTGCAGGGGCCCTGGGACACGCAAATAAATACACACAAAGAAAAAGATGCCCTGTATTTTCCCATATCTCCTGGGTTTCTGTCTCCCCCCCCCACTTCCCATACTTTCCCATATTTTCTGAGGGATCGACGATTACTTGTGTCTCTGCGTTTTGCCCCCTCCTGAGAAACATCGTCCCCCGACGATGCTTTGCCTTCCTCCCGTGGGGACGTGCCCGACTTGACGGGGCCCCCCTGTCCCGGACAGCGGGCCCTCGGGGGGGGGGGGGGGGGGAGAAATCGAGGCGAGCAACGACCCGGGGGCCGGAGAATCAGACGTCTCGTCGGAGGTCCGCCTCCCGCCGCCTCCCAGGGGAGAAGAGGATCAGCGCCCCTCAAACGGGGACTCCACTAACGGGTACTTTGGCCAGTGACCCAGCGAACCCAACCCTTCCCGAGGCGGGCAACGCTGCATTGCCAGAAAGAGGCCCTAAAGTGGCAACGTTCGGCAAAATTGCAAAATACCCGTTAGTAAGTACCCGTTACGGTGCCGTTGAGAGGAAGAGGGGGAGTCGGGGCCGGACCGCGCAGCGCGAACAACTTCGCGCCCTCGAGGGCGCCCTTGCAGAGGAACGTCGTCCCCCGACGACGTTTTGCCTGCCTCCCGTGGGGACGTGCCCGACTTGACGGGGCCCCGGGGCCCGACAACGGGCCCCGGGGGGGGGGGAGAGATCGAGGCGAAAAACAACCAGGGCCGGAGAAACACACGTCGGTCGGAAGGAGTAGGTAAAAACAGGAAGTCGGAAGGCGGAGTCAGTGGATCGGGTCCAGGCCCCCGCAGGGAATGACAAAACACAGCAAAAAAGCATGTCGATTCTCGAAGTAGGAAGGCGCTTGAGGTAGCCTGGGATCGGGGAGCCCAAAAATACATACTTTTTCAGCGACCAGCGTGAAAAAACATCTCTCGTCGGAGACCCGGGCCCCTCTCGCTACGCGTTAGGTCGGGCGTGTGCAGGCGGACTTTTTGGACGAACAGTCAAAGCAGTGCGCAAAAACAGATCCAAACAAATACTCAACAGCACTGTCCCGAAACTCAAAAAACTAATCCACAACCTATTCAAACAAATAGTCAACACAACATAACTAACACATACTCAAACAAACAATCACAACACTGCCTACCTACCAGACCACCCCAACCCAACCCGAAGACCCGAATTTCGGGTTGGGGGGGGTACGGGTTTCATATGTGTTTTCTCGATGTTCCACGACCCCCCCCACTGGAAATCGAGGATACATTGGGGCCTTCGGGTTGGGTTGGGGTGGTTTGGTGGGTGGTGAAACACAAAACAAAACGTTTACTGTCTTTGAACATGCCTCCTGTAGAAGGGCCCGGCCCGACGGAAGCACACCCGCTCGGGGGGGGTGGGCGGGGAGGAGCGCGGCGGGGCGAGGAGCGCCTCTGCGTATCTCAGCCGAGCGCCCTCCAGGCTCGCCTGCCCCCGCTCCGCCGCGCGCGGGCGGGGGGGGGGCGGGGCCCTCCCCCGGCCTGCTGCCTCCCCCCGTCCTCGTCTCTCGGGTCGGGCGAAAGGGGGGGATAGCAAAGGGGGAGGTTGAGAATCAGCTCACGTAGCTGATTTTCCCGGCGCCTCCCGGCGCCGGAGGCGGCTATGTATCGAGGAATGGGCCCCTCGGTGAGGCCGAAACCAGCTGCATGCAGCAAATTTCGTAACCCCCCCTTTCCCAATCCCCCCCCTTTCGTCCGGCCCGAGTCTCGCGCTGCATTCTGAGTATGCAGTCAAAAACCCTAACGAGGACGCGCGGTGAGGACGCAAGACCCTTACCCTTGGGAGCCGGAGTTGGGATGTTTGGGGCGGCGGCCGACGAGGACCTCAAGGACGCACAAGCAAGGAAGAGGAAGGAAGCAAAGTCGCGCGCCCTTCTTATGGTTTTCAACTGTACCCGATCCCCCTCCCCAGCGGCGCGGCATGGGCCCCGCTGGCCGATTTGCCCCCCTCCCCCCCCCCCAGATGGGTGTATGTATATATATATATATATATATATATATATAGGCCGTGCTCTTCGGGCCTCGAGGGGTGTGCCCCCCAACTGGGGTGGCCATTTTGGTGGGGGCATCGGAGGGGATGAGGAGGAGAAGGGGGGCCCGAGAGACGCTACTGACATTCGCCTCCTCGACGATCTGCATCGACGGGAAGCCGCCGGCAGCGCGGGGACGGCTGGACCCCAACCACCCTCGGAGCAGGGCGCCTGCGCGCGAGCCGAATGCAGCAGAGCGCCCACGAGGGGCGAGCGAGCGGGACGAGCCGAGCCTGGCGACCCCGCCTGAGGTTCCCCTTCCCGCAGGCGCCGCCCCCTCAGCACGGACGCTTCCTGCTCGCTCGCCGAGCCGGGCGTGGGGGGGTCGGCATCGGGAAGGAAGCGTTTTGCCTCAGGGCCCAAGGCGGCACGTCCAGAGTCTGGCAGCACCTGCCTCCTGCGGGGGACCCCACGGCGCTGCATCGCCCCGTCCTGGAGCCTCGCGCCGCATTCGCCTCCCCTCCCCGCCCCGCCCCGCCGTGCGCAGCTGCCTCCGCTCCGGGCTCCCGAGCTGCCCTTCTCCTGCTCTCCCCCCCCTTCGGGGGTTGCCAAAAGGTGCCCCTGGCTCCGGGTGTCCGCAGCTTGTCGCTCCATTCTGGAGCCCCTGGGGCCCCCTGGGCCTCGTGAAGGGTGCTCTGGAGGCCGTTGGGGGCCTCCTTGGAGACTGCTGCCGGTGCTCCTCCTCCTCTGGCTAGCGGGGACTGAACAGAGGACGCGAGACGGGCATCCAGTCCCTGGATTCGGTACAGAGAAGGGGGCGTGCGTAAGCGGGGGCATGAAGAAGCGGAATAAGAATGAGAAGAGCAAGAAGACAAACAATTGAAGTGCGCAAGCGGGGGCAAGCAGGGGTTCCTTTTGTTCCGCCTCCTCCTCTACCTTCTCCTCCTCCTCCTCCTCCTCCTCCTCCTCCTACTCCTCCTCACCACCGCCACCGCCGCCATCACCACCACCACCACGATCCTCCTCCTCCTCCTCCTCCTCATCATCATCATCATCATCATCATCATCATCATCATCATCATCATCATCATCATCGTCATCATAATCATCATCATCAGCAGCAGCAGCATCATGACATCATCATCATCATCATCATCATCATCATCATCAGCATCAGCATCAGCATCATCAGCATCATCAGCATCATCGGCATCAAAATAATCATCACCATCATCAGCATCATCAGCAGCATTATGACATCATCATCATCATCAGCATCATCAGCATCATCATCACCACCATCATCCTCATCATCACCATCACCATCACCATCATCATCATCACCATCATCCCTATCCTCCTCCTCAACCTCACCCTCATCCTCATCCTCATCCGCATATTCCTCATCATCCTCATCCTCATCATCCTCATCATCCTCATCCTCATCCCCGTCCTCATCCTCATCCTCATCCTCATCATCACCATCATCTTACCTCAAGTTCGCTTCTCTACTATCACAGGCCAAAAACGCAAAATACTTCCCCCCTTCTCTCTTCACTCCCGTGCATATCATGTCAAACTCCCCTTGGTCGAGAAAATTTGGCCGCCAATGGGGTGACGCAGATATTCTCGCTTGCTACACAAAAACCGCTGAAACCAAAATTCAACGCACGAATGCCAACGACACATTTGGATCCGTCAAGCGACTGCACGGACGACCAACCCGGAACGGGCTGCTATGCATCCACGAAGCCCTCCAAAAACCCCTAGACGCTAACATACGTCAATCAACGAATCGACTACCTCCCTCTAAGCGTCACTTTCTGCCGACGGGAATACGGATAGTGCGTGACTCCATGTGTGTTTTGCAAACCGGTAGAAGCCAGAGCCGTAATGGCTGAACCCATTGCGAAATCAAGAAAGAGGCGCCAACGACGACCGTCACGACGTAACCATCGGCGCGCCGAGAGGGAAGGCAAGATGAGCGGGCCTCCTCAGAGGTCCGGCCTTCTGCGAAGCCTTCTAGACCTTCTCCGAGGCCGGAAGACTTCTCTGAAGGCTCGTGGGCTTCTGCCCCGCCGCCTTCTGAGTTAGGAGGAGGAGGAGGAGGAGGAGGAGGAGGCTCCTCTCACCTGCCCCCATGGCGCACCGCCGAGTTTGGGCTTCGGGTCATAACTCGGGCGTCGAGCGGCCGTGCGAGACGATCCAGGCAGTCCCAGGCGCCCCTCGGCGAGGCGCAGCCGCCAGAGCGCACCCCGAGGCTGAAAGAGCAGCGAGAAACCACGAGAACGCACGAACACTTCGGGCCTCGAGCCAAAAACTTCCCCCCTCAGCGCGCAGCCGAGAATGCAGGCGACCCGCATCTCAAGGATGCGCGGTAAGGATACAAGGGCCTTGGAGGGTATGTTGACGTGTTTTTCGAACGAGGCTGGCCAGCGAAAGTCGCTAATAATGAGCCGAAGGGGCAATGATGCAAAAGGGTACCCTTGGGAAGGTTGCCCGTCCTTATCATGCGGGTTGACTGTGCAGTAGGGGCCCGACCATAACAAACCTTCCGCAAAACCCAACCCTGAGACGCCAGGACGTCCATCGACTTTTGGTGTGGGAACGCCACGCTTCCCATGGCAAAAACATCGAAAACCCATGAAACCCTGGAGGCAAGCAGGGTGCTTCTCGGCATGGACCACCGGATGATGAGGAGGAGGAGGAGAAGGAGGAAGAGGAGAAGGAGGAGAAGGAGGAGGAGAAGGAGGAGGAGAAGGAGGAGGAGAAGGAGGAGGAGAAGGAGGAGGAGAAGGATGAGGAGGAGAAGGAGGAGGGGGAGAAGGAGATGGAAAAGGAGGAGGGGGAGGGGGAGGAGGATGCGGAAGAGGAGGATGAGGAGGAGGAGAAGGAGAAGGAGGAGGAGAACAAGGAGGAGAAGGAGGAGGAGGAGGAGCGGGACCACGACGATGCTGCCGCCCGTCCCCCTGTCGCGTTCAGGGCCGCCGCCGCGCGGCCGTGGGCCGCCGTGGCCGCCGCGGCGGCGGCGTCGGCCGGCGCGCGCTCGCGCACCACGCCTGGCAGCAGGAGGGACGACGACGAGGACGACGACGACGAGGACGAAGTCGACGACGACGACGAGGACAAAGTCGACGACGACGACGACGACGACGACGACGACGACGACGCCGACGCCTGGCAACAAGAATGGAAGGGGGTGCGACACAAGACGATGGGTCGCAAAAGAGCACACTGCAGTCGACCCGTGCCATCAGAATGCAACGAGGATGCGAGGGCCTTGGAAGGCCGCGGTGGCACTCGACACCTCGCGAGCTGGGCGCGGCCGAGGACAGCGGCCACTGGCCATCGCTCAGACGTCCGTTCCCTGTGTTTTTTGTCGGTTTTGTGCGTGCTTTTTTCGCCGAGTGATCCAGGATGCTCCTCGAGGGTCCTCGCCGAAGGAAAAACGCACACGCCCGAGCGATGCCAAGGCCAGGGATGGGCCGAGGAGGTCAAGGGTGCAAGGGCACCCTCCTTCTCAAGGCGGGTTGGCTGCAGCACTCAAGGCGGGTTGGCTGCAGCATTCAAGGCGGGTTGGCGGGTGTTTTCCACCACCACCACCATGAGTTGGAGGAGGAGGGAGAGGAAGAGGAGGAGGAGGAGGAGGAGGAGAAGGCGGAGAAGGAGGAGGAGGAGGAGGAGGAGGAGGAGGAGGACGACGACGACGAAGACGAGGAGGAGGACGACGACGAAGAGGAGGACCGAGGAGGGAGACCTCCTCCTCTCCTCCTCCCTCCTCCTCCTCTCCTCCTCCTCCCTCCTCCTCCTCCTCCTCCTCCTCCCTCCTCTCCTCCTCCTCTCCTCCTCTCCTCCTCCTCCTCCTCCTCCTCCTCCTCCTCCTCCTCCCTCCTCCTCCCTCCTCCTCTCCTCCTCCTCCTCCTCCTCCTCCTCCTCTCCTCCTCCTCCTCCTCCTCCTCCCCTCGGGCCGCACCCTCGGGACGGCTGCCCGTCCTTCTCCAAGGCGGGTTGGCTGCAGCACGACGCGCCCCTGCTGCGGGGGGACTCTGGGCCGACCCGAGCACGAGGAGCCTGATTTTCCACCACCACCACCACCACAAGCTGGAGGGGGGAAGGAGGAGGAGGAGGGGAGAAGGAGGAGGAGGAGGAGGAGGAGGAGGAGGACGACGACAAAGAGGAGGAGGAGGAGGACGAGGAGGGGGGAAGGAGGAGGAGGAGGAGGAGGAGGAGGAGGAGGAGGAGGAGGAGGAGGAGGAGGTCAGGACGACGACGAAGAGGAGGAGGAGGAGGAGGACCCCCCCCTCCAACCTTTGGTGGTGGTGGTGGAAAACGCGCCCATCAGAACACGCAGCACGACATCTCGTGGCAGACCGTTGCCCGAGCGCTGCGGCCAGAGAGAGAGGCCGCCACGTGGCTTCTGCTACGGGATGTCCGAGCGCGCGCGTCGCCCCCATGCTTGGCCGACGCGCGCATGTGGTGCAAACACCTGTACGGCCATCCTTCGGGCGGAGCGGAGCGGAGCATCGAGGATCCGTCCGACGGGCGAACAGACCACGGCGACTGGACGGCCTCGTCGCCACCCACACGCCCGCCCGCAGGGGGAGCGTGGGAGACGACGGGACCGTCCATAAAGGAGGTCGCGGGGGAAGGAGGGGCCTGCCTGGCAATCGATCTATCACTCGACAGACTCAACGGTATCGGTACCGTGCCCTCCTCCTCTGAGGATGACGATGGAAAATCGCGAACCGCGAACTGCGAACAGCTCCGCGACATCGCTGGCAGCCCTTTTGGGTCCGCCCCCCGCGCGCACGCTGCCGCCCGCGAGCCTCCCTGGGCCGCCGCAGCGCAGCAGTGGGCTCCCGCGCGGCACTGCCGCAGCGCTGCAGCTCGAGGGCTGGGCACTTGTCTTGATGAGTTCCCACGGTCGGGGGGACCAGCGCAGGGGGGGAGACATCGACCTGGAGTCGGCGACACATCGCCGATAGATCGGCGAGGAGCCCTCGATGGCGAACCCGCACATTCCTGGACAAGATGTGGCTGTCCCCCATCGGCGATGCATCGAATGGGCGATCCCGGGTCGACGCATTCCCCCCTGCGCCGATCCCCCCCTTTACCGTTGCCCCTGACGGTGGCTGCGCGACAGTCGACCCCTGACCGACAAAACAGGGCTGCCCGTGTGAGACCTTAACTGACGACTCTCTCTGTCGCTACGTTGAGAACTGTGGGCCACGTCCACATCGTAGAGCTTTGGCTGACCCAAAAGGGGGTCCAGCTGAAAGGGGGTGGTGCAATATGTGTGGGGCAAGTGTACTGCAAATGTAGATCAGGCCAGAGAATGGTATTGCATTGTTTTGCAACTCGCGTCTTGCACTCGAAAGCCCAGCAATACATCTACGCACCGGAATGTATCGCCGTTCTGCCCCTGCTGCAAGAAAGAACCCAAACGAACATGGTCCACGGAATCGACCAAACACCGCTTAGCTCGATCCCTGGGAGACCGATACCGCTGCTTCCCTCCTCAGGAGCGTGCGTGCTCAGGGGGAGGGGAGGAGGAGGGGGGGGGGGGAGGAGGAGGAGGAGGAGGAGGAGGAGGGAGGGGGGGGAGGAGGAGGAGGAGGAGGACCCCTTCTCAGGGTGCGCTCTGATCAGGACTTCGAGGCGAATCTGGTCCTGGCGACGATGGAGTCCCAGGAGGCCCAGAGCGGCGGCCACGAGCCGGGGCTCGGTGCCTCTTCCTCCTCCGAGTCGAGGGCTGGGCGCAGGCCTCCGGAGGCCGCAGCAGGAATCGCCCCCGGGCGGTGGCGCTCAGCGAGTGGCCTCCTAGACGGGGTCCGAGCAGATGGGGCCCGAGGGGCGCGCCGCATCGGCGCCGCATCGGCGACGCATCGGCGATGCATCGCCGACGTCGGCGGCGCAGTGGCGCCGTCGGCGTTGAGAAATCCGGGCTCCACATCGAGCCGCATTGCCGATGCACCGGCGATGCGACGCGAGTCTCCGACCCCATCCACTCTGGCCCCATATAGGAGGGCTAGATTTAGGTCGGGCGTGCCCCCCTACAGGCGGATTTCGGGCGAAAAACTGAAAATACGCAAAACTTGTTTGATCTGCAGGGCGAGAGCGAGCCTCTTCCGCTAAAAGCTCCGCGGGACGCGCACAGCTTTAATTGACCGAGAGGGGGCGAGAGCAGGCGGGGCCTCACGCGGCCAGGAGCGGGCGGCTTAAAAAAAAGGCAACATATGCCCCGAAGTAGTCAAAACATGCCCCCAAAAAATCGTCCCCGGACGACTGTCTCACTATGTTTTGGGCATTCCTCCTGTAGAGGGACGTGCCCGACTTGAAAGCCCAAATCAACATGCCGGGCGGGACGGGGCGCCACGCCGGGAGGCGTCCCAGAGGCGGCGGCGCCCCTGCTGCCCCCGGGCCCCAGGCCGCGGCACATCGGCAGGTCCTGCCATGTCGCGGTGCCGATTTCAGAGACGCGAGCTCTATATACCAGGGCTGGCCCTCAGCGTTGTTGTTCCTTTTCTGTCGTTTTGTTTTTCGATGTTGACCTGTTTTCCGGTGCCTCCCTGCCAAGACCAAACACAAACCACAGCCGAAGTCCAGCAAAACAGCATTTAGGTCAGGCCCTGCTCTAAACCGACGATTTTGCCGACCCTGTACTGAAATTTGCAGCCAGGAGAGGGGATCCTGGTGCATACGGAACCCTGGTGTATACATCTCTCGCTGGTTCCCTGGGAAAGCGGGGAAACAAGTATACACCACACCACCCCGACGTCGTCCCGACTCTCAAAAAATCCTGGGATTAAAAAAGCAGCCCGCCACTGGCAATGTATATGTTTCAATTTCCGAATTTCTCGTCTTCCAAACGTGTCGATCGGGCGGGCTGGGCTTATTTTGCACCGTCGGGGACCTCGTCAGCCCCATCGCGCCACCATCCGCGTCGAATCGGCGTCGAATCCGAGCCAGAAAACACTGGGACGTGCGCCGGACACCCGAAGAGGGAGCGACACCTACTGGAAAGACGAGGCCCCCCGAGATTGCAGCGCGGCTGGGCGTCTCGCCTGAGGCTCCGTCACGAGCTGTGATCGAAGGGGCCCTGGGACACACAAATAAATACACAGAAATAAAATGATGCCCCATATTTTCCAATATTTTCTGGGTTTCTGTCTTCCCCCCCACTTCCCATATTTTCCCATAGGTTCTGGGGAGTCGACGATGAATTGTGTCTGTGTGTTTCTTCCCCTCCTGAGCGATCCTGGAGTCTGATGTGCAACAACTGCACGGATGGAAAGGAACGTCGCTGTCAGAGGGAGGCTCTCCGTCCAGCGCTGCGTCCTCCACGCCGCCCGGCCTGAAGCGTCAGCGGACTTGGCAGGGCTGTTCGCCTGAGACTTCCTCACGACTGAAGGGGCCCTGGGACATTCAAGTAAATACACGCAAATAACCATATTCCCCATATGTTCAAATATTTTCTGGGTTTTTGTCGTCTTCCCCCCCACTTCCCATATTTTCGCATATTTTCCTGGGGATCGACGATTAATGTGTCTGTGTGTTTTTTCCCCTCCTGAACGGCTTGCATCCCGAAAACCCCCCCAACAACTGCAGCAATGCCACGGAGGAAGGGCGGATCTCGAAAATTTCGGCTCGCCTCAGCGCCACGCACGCACACTCCCCTTTTTAAAAGCTTGCAACAGCTGCGCTGAGGGGCAACGATCGGGGGGGATAGGCAAAGGGGGGAATGCATCGACCTGGAATCGGCGATAGATCGGCGATAGGCCCCCGATAGTGAATCCGCACCTTCCTGGGCGGGGTGGGGCTATCGGGCCCCTATCGGCGATCAATGGGCGATTGGGGGTCGATGCATCCCCCCCTATGCCTATCCCCCCCTATCGTTGCTCCCGATACGCGGATTGAGAGCGGCTTTGTTTCAAAATAGTGTTCTCAACGCAGCGCCGCGCAGATCCGTTCAACAAATGTACATCAGCTGCAGGGACGGAGGCCAGCAGTACCTTCTCAAAGTGGGCATCTCGCCTGAGACTTCCTCTCAAAGGTACCCAAATTAGAAGGTTCGGACGGGTCGCGCGATTGGAGGGCGGAACCCTTTTACTATTTGGCTCTCGCCTCAGCGCCGCTCACATTCGCCTTCAAAACTTGCAACACAAATGATGGGTTGAGAACTGCTCATGTCTCGGGGGTTATTGCCTGGGCGCGGCGCACATTCGTTTCAAAAGCCTGCAGCCGTTACAATAATCGAGGTTCATTCCTTTTCAACATGGGGCTATCGCTTCATCGCCGCGCGCACTCGTCTAACAACTTCACGACATCTACACGGATGGAGGGCGTTAGCTGTTCAACATGGGGCTCTCGCTTCAGCGACGCGGACGTTTGCCGTGACATTTTTGAGACGATTCCAACGATGGAGCGCGTTACCTGTTCAGAACGGAGTTCTCGGCTGTGACGTCCTGAAATCCAACGGCCATACGCCTTGACATATGTAACCGCTGCTTGGATGGCCGTTGCCGTCCTGTCGGAACAAGGACAATACATGAAACTTGAAAAACCTTGGGCAGCACTTGCACGAGTTAGGGGCGGTGTCGTTTCAGTTCTCTCCCATCCCACATCGGTCACATCCCAGGGCAAGTCAAAATCGAACTAGCCGTAGGCCAACTTAGTTGAGAGAAACCAATCAGGACCCGTACCACTAATTTCTCTCCGACCTCTCCCGGGTTGCGTCCTGACCAGGATTCCCGGGCAATCCCAGCCGTGGCGACGAGGGCCGCCCAAGAGGCACACGCCGATGAGAACGAGGGAAGAGTAGCGGCATCGGTAATGCCAGTCCAACAGCTTTTTACTTACATACACATATATACATATATATACATATATATACATACATACATATATATGTATTACAGACGGCTGGGGACAAGAATTGTGAATGCTTGAGCGTCCGAAGATCGCCGTAGGCACGGCTCTCGACATCACGCGAAGCACAGCAGGCAGCAAAGGCTGAAATGCCGAAACTCCGCAGCCGCAGCCGCCGGGAGTGCCGTCCCCGCCGCGAGAGAGGACGGGGGAGGGTCCTCCCTTTCTACTTCCGGAGCCGAAACATACTGCAGATGTCGTCATAAAAGGGAGGGGGTCTGGACCCTCCAAGACAAGCCATTTCAGACCTCCCCCGTGGGAGAACCCTGCAAAACGTCGTCCCCAGACCCCCCATGCCCTCCAAGATAGCCTGGAAGAGACCCCCCCCGAAATGAGACCCCCCTCCCTTTATTACGAAATCTGGAGTACCTCTTCCTCCTCTGATTGATATCGTCACGGGGCGCTCGAACATCCCGGCACCTTGCCCAGGGCCTTTCTCTCGTCACGAAATTGCTTGTGGAGGGTCCCCCGTGGCCTGGCGAGGGTCCCCAGAGGCCGAACACTACGAGAAATACCCCCCTCGTGTGTTTCGAGGCAGTGCGGGGGCTCGCCCGCAAGAAGCCCTCCCAGGAAACCCAGCCCTGAAAATCCACGCGAAGGGCGCAATTGAGAAACAACACGGCACCCTGAACCGCAAGAACCCCTCCCAGGAAACCCAGCCCTGCAAATCCATGCGGAGGGCGCCATTGGGGAAAAAACACGGCACCCTGAACGCAGCGGTATCTTGACGCCCGCGGGCAAGTCGCCGCGCAGCGTGCGCAGCAAGGACGCCCAGGGTACCCCGACGGAACGCACCTGGCGCCTTGTATCGGGCTGGGCGGAAGGGGGGATAGCAAAGGGAGGGTTTGAGAATCAGCTTACGCCGCTGATTTTCCTGGCGCCTCCCGGCGCTGGAGGCGGCTATGTATCGAGGCATGGGCCCCTCGGGGGGGCCGAAATAAGCTGCATGCAACAAATTTCGTAACCCCCCCTTTCCCAATCCCCCCCTTTCGTCCGGCCCGATTGTGGCGCGCCCCCACTGCAGAGGGCAAGTCTGCGTAGTGCCACGTCGGCCGGAAGGAGTACGTAATCACGTGAAGCAGGAAGGCGCACAAAGCAGATTGGGCCCAAGCCCCCCCGGAAAAAAAAAACATAACACTGCAGAAACATATCGATGATTGAAGTAGGAAAGCGCGTGAAACAGACCAGGATCTTTGAGCAAGGACCAACCGTCCCGGCATTCCTAGAGGCCTACCGCGACATGTTCCTAGAACCCAGAAGTGCTCTAATAACTAAAACCATATTCTCAGAACACAAGCCCGATGTGTGAAGACAAGACAGTCTCGGCCAGACAAGTTCTAAGAAAATCTCGTGCAAGCCACAAAACAAATTCTGCGAACATTCTTTGGTGGGTCTATGGGCGAGCCCAGACGCGTCCCCACTGCTTGAGATCAGGGAATCCGGAAGCACCTACAGTCAACCCGTATCGTGAGGATGCGCGAGAAGGATGCAGGGGCCTTGGAGGTTCATGCTGACGTCTTTGTCAAGCGATGCTGGTCCGCGAAAGTCGCTCAGGATGGGCCGAGGGGGCCAGGATTAAGTCGGGCCTGTCCCCCTACAGGGGCATTTTCGACGAAAAATAACAAATACCCCCCAAACAGAATCAAACAATAATCCAAAAATAGTCCAGGCACTATGTTTAGGGTATTTTTTGACCTTTTTGGTGTATCTTTGGGGTAACTTTTATTATTTTCGTCGAAAATCCCCCTGAGGGGGACAGGCCCGACATAAGCGTACCTCTAGGGGGAAAACAAACCTACCTCGCTTTTGACCACCCTCGCTTCCAAGAGATACCAAACGATGCCAAATTGCAGCCTGTCCTGGTCAGGCCGCTTGACGAGGAGGCGCGTGGTATGGCTTGGTTTTGCCTGGAAGCGAAAGCGGGGTAGGTAATTCACGCTCTGAACCCCGCTCGGCGGCGGCATTGGCGGCGGGGACGCCGCCGCCGTGGGGCCTTCCGTGACGGCCTGCGCGGCGCGCAGAGCCTGCAACGCCACGGCGTGGGCCGCCTGCCGGGGCGCTGGCAGGGGCTCGGCGGCGACCAGACCGGGGGAGGAGGAGGGAGGAGGAGGAGGAGGAGGGGAGGAGGAGGGGGAGGGGGAGGAGGAGAGGAGGAGGAGGGGAGGAGGAGGAGGAGGAGGAGGAGGAGGAGGAGGAGGGAGGGGAGGAGGGGAGGAGGGGGAGGAGGAGGGGGAGGAGGAGGGGGAGAAGGAGAGGAGAGGAGGCGCCGCCAGCGCGAGGCGCGCAGAGGCGCGCCTTGCGCTCCGCTCTCCGGCGGTGCGGCGTCGTCGGCCGCGGGCGGTGCTGCACGCCTCTCTGTCCGACCCTCCTGCGGTGTCGGGTCCTGACTACCTACCAGACCACCCCAACCCAACCCGAAGACCCGAATTTCGGGTTGGGGGGGGTAAGGGTTCCACATGTGTGTTTTCGATGTTTCCCGACACCCCCCCCACTGGAAATCGAGGGTAAATCTGAGCCTTCGGGTTCGGTTGGGGTGGTTTGGTGGGTGGTGAGGTCCTCGCTCTGCAGAGACAGCGCCCTGGCATCTGGCATAGTCGTTGGCGCTCCGCTGCTCACCCCACGGCCCCCCCCGCGGCGACCCGCGACCACATCGCGGACCCTCCGGAGACCCGTCCGCCACTGTTGCGCAAAGGCGTGCCGCCCGTCGCACCGCGTGCAACTACAAAACAGGATCGACCCACGAACGAACCCGGAGAGGGCTATAGACATGTGAGACATGGCAGCGTGTTCAAAACACCTGATTGGGCGACGGGCAAATGCAGTGCTGAATGCATCGATCTTGATGTACCGTGCCGAGACCTCAGTGCTGTGCTACGCCGTGCTGAATTGCGATGTGCCATGTCGCGATTGTGCTCTATAGCGTTGTGAATCGAGTCCTCCTTTGCATCCGAATCCAGACCGAACTGATCTGGATCTTCAGCTCGAGCTGCCTCAGCACATAATAGCTGCCCCAGAGCTAATTGAAATGGAAAGGTGCGGGATGTTCAGTCAGCTCGACCTCAAAATCCGACTCTGCTCCGAACAGGAACGACTCGACACGGGGCACAGGCTCGCGGACGCACCACAGGATGTGCTAGGAGCGCAATAGGGGATGCGCCGCGGGGGCGTCAGGGGACGTATCAGAGGACGTGCCCTGAACATGTCAGGACCTACAACGGGAAGTGCCAAGGCGAGTGCCATGGGACGGCCAGAGGACGTCATGCCAAATGACGTTGCAAGCGGCGCGCCATGGAACGGGCAGAGGAAACGCCTGGGGACGAGCCAGGAAACGAGAGAGGACGGCCAGGGAACGTGCCACGCCGAGTGGCGTGCTTGGGGGGCGTGCCAGGGCACGTCACGCCAGAACGTCGCAAGGGACGCGCCAGGGGACGCGGCCACGCGCCAGGGGGCGCCCCACGGACGGACGGGCGGGGTTGGACTGCGATGCATTCTACTGCGACAAGCGTTCCGCTGGAGACATCCTCAACACATAGACATCGGCCTGGGCTTCCTGGACACGTGAAAACAAGCGTCTCGCTCGAGACATCCTCAACAAATCCGCCGACCCTGTCGGCGTGTGGACCCCCTGTCGGCGTGCGCTCAGTCGACGCATCCGTTGTCCTCTTTCCCTGCGTCTCCGTCGTCCCCTCTCCCTGCACGCTCTTCTTCAGGCCTGCCAGCGAAAACCGTAGCAACGTTTACCAGCCTGGAACATTTCCCTATCCCTATGCTGGGCACCTCCTCATCACTATGCCAATCTTAGGGTTTCCCTTATTTTTTGAGGGCGAATCCCTAAGATTGTCATCGCCTTTGGGCGTGTCAAATCTTAGGGATAGGGATACGTTCGAGGCTGGTAAAACGTCGTGGAAGGGAAGCCCCTTTCCTTTGATCCCTCCCCCGCCAACGGGGGGGGGGTCCCGGGGGGCCGCCCCTGGACGTCCCGAAGCACCAAAAAGCACCAAGACGCGCCAAGAGACCGCCAAGCAGGCCCCAAAAAGAGGACCACGAACCGACAGTTCGAACTTCCCGCCCCAAGAAGCCCCCGGAAGGCCAAGAGCCCCTCGAGGGGCCCGACGAGGCCCCCAAGAGATCCCCACGAGGCCCAAAACATCCAAGAGACAACCAAAACCCCAGCACGGTGGCGGGAAGGGCCGCAGGCCACAAGGCTCCCTGTCTGTCTCTGCTACGACTCCCTCGGCCCACATGGAGAACATCTCCTTCGCCTTCTCCTGCTCCCTTCCACCTTCATCCCCCTCCTCCTCCTCCTCCTCAACAAATCCTCTGGTTCAAGACATCCTCAACAAATTCTCATGTTAGACATCCGCCTGGGCGACCCGGACACGTGAAACCAAGCGTCTCGCTCGAGACTTTCTCATGACCTCCTCATGCTAGACATCCGCCTGCGCGAGCTGGACACTTAAAAACAAACTGTTCGCTCGAGACATCCTCAACACATCCTCATGCTAGACATCCGTCTGGGCGACCTGGGCACGTGAGAGCAAGCGTGTCGCTCGAGATTACCTCGACACCTCCTCATGCTAGACATCCACCTGGGCGACCTGGACACGTGAAAACAAGCGTCTCTCTCTCTCTCTCTCGCGAGAGAGAAAGAGATAGAGAGAGAGAGAGAGAGACAAATCCTCAACGAATCCTCATTCTAGACATCCGCCTGGGCGACCTGAACGCATAAGAAACATGATCGGCCCACGAACCCGGAAAGGAATATAGAAATATAAGGCATGGCAACGTTTTAAAGACACCCGATTGGGCGACGGGCAAATGCAATGCTGAATGTATCGATCTTGATGTACTGTGCCGAGGGCTGTGCTGTGCTACGCCGTGCTGAATTGCGATGTGCCATGCCGCGAGTGTGCTCTATATAGCGTTGTGGATCGAGGTGCCAGGTGGACTCGCCACGGAACGCGCCAAAGAACGTGCCAACATGCAATGTTGAATGTATCGATCTTAATGTACCGTGCCGACGGCTGTGCTGTGCTGGGCCGTGCTGAACTGCGATGTGCCATTCCGCAACCGTACTCTATATAGCGGTGTGGATCGAGTCATCCCTGGCATCCGAGTCCTGACCGAACTGATCTGGATCTTAAGCTCGAGCTGCCTGAGCAGATGGTAGCTGCCCCAGACCTAATCGACAGGGGGAACATGCCAGGAGGACGCGCCTCGGAACGTCCCAAAGGACGCGCCAGGCGACGTGCCAGGGGACGTGCCATGGGGTCGCACCGCGGGACGTGCCAAGGGGACGCGCTACGGAACGTGCCAATGGACGTGCCGCGGGACTTCCCAGGGGACGCGCGGCGCGAGGTGCCAGGTGGACTCGCCACGGAACGCACCAAAGAACGTGCCAAAATGCAATGTTGAATGTATCGATCTTGATGTACCGTGCCGACGGCTGTGCTGTGCTGGGCCGTGCTGAACTGCGATGTGCCATTCCGCAATCGTGCTCTCTCTCTCTATATATATATATAGCGGTGTGGATCGAGTCCTCCCTGGCATCCGAGTCCTGACCGAACTGATCTTGATCTTAAGCTCGAGCTGCCTGAGCAGATGGTAGCTGCCCAAACCTAATCGACAGGGGGACATGCCAGGAGGACGCGCCGCGGAACGTCCCAAGGGACGCAACAGGCGACGTGCCAGGGGACGTGCCATAGGCACGCACCGCGGGACGTGCCAAGGGGACGCGCTACGGAACGTGCCAGTGGACGTGAACCACGCGACGTGCCAGGGGGACTCGCCACGGGACGCTCCGCGGAACGTGCCAGGCAACATGCCAAGCTGCAATGCTCAGGGTATCGATATTGATGTACCGTGCCGAGGGCTGTGCTGTGCCTGGGCGGCCTGGACACGTGAAAACACGCGTTTCGCTCAAGACGTTCTCAGCCTATCCTCATGCCAGACATCCGCCTGGGCAACCTAGACACGTGCAAACAAGCGTCTCGATCGAGTCTTCCTCGACACATCCTCATGCTAGACATCCTCGGCGGCCTGGACACGTGAAAACAAGCCTCTGTTTCGAGACATCCTTAACAAATCCTCATGCTAGACATCTGCCTTGGCAATCTGGAGGCGTGAAACCAAGCGTCTCGCTCGAGATATCCTCAAGACCTGGGCACGTGAAAACAAGCTTTTCACTTGAGAGATCCTCTGAATTCAGGTTCCCAGGAGAGGACAATCGAGAACACAAAACAAGCGCTTCGCTCGAGACATCCTCAACAAATTCTGAACAACAAGCGTTTCGCTCGAGACATCCTCAAACATAATTTCGCCGGCCCTACTCGACCTCGCTATTTATCGCAAAATAAATTCCGTGGCCCTACAACCGTCAGCACCGGGGGTAAACACACTAAATGAGAACCCTGGGCCCGAGCCCTTTCCGGGAACAAGCGTTTCGCGAGAGGCGTTCTCTAAATTCAATTCTGCCGGCCCGACTTGACCTTGTTTTGTCTCGCAACATAATTCTGCCGGCCCTACGCAAGTCGAGGCCGGGGGCAAACATCTAAAAGAGAACCCTGGGCCGGAGCCCATTCCAGCAGAAACATCCTTGTCTGTTCGTATGCTTCTGTGTCGTCCGCGTTCTCGCGCTCGAGCTTCCGACGCTCCAAGATGGCCCCACATGCCGGCGCCGCCATGGAGACAAGAGGGGGTGCTAGCGCGAGCTTGCTTGAACGAAATGGCCGCGCAGCGCAGGAGCCCTCCCTCCGGGAGCGAACTCCGGTAGAGGCTGCACCGCTGGCGCAAACACACCCGGCGAGACTTGCAAGTGCCAGACGACAAAACGAACAGCGGGCCCCTGCCAATCATCAGCACTGCGCGGGGGTCGCGCCTGCCCCTTTGGCGGGGGCCCCCGCGGGGAAGGGCCCGAAGACCGCCCCCAAGGCGGACCAACAGGCCCCCTCGAGGGCCCCAAGTCGGTCCAGGAGGGCCCCAAGACGGCCCCCGAGAGCGCCCGAGAGGGCCCCCGACTGGGGGGGTCACAAAAAGAGGCACCCAAAGA